AACCAACTCAGCTTCTGGTGCTGGACAAATTCCTCAGTGGAAGTATCCGTTGCACAGCTGATAACTCGCTTTGTAATTACTTCGTTAGGGGTGTTCCGACACTAACACATATGAGCTATGGTCCTGAGACAACGATTGTTGAACATCCGAAGACGTCTCAGTTCCGCTGCTCGAGTAGGCCAATTCTCACGTCCATACAACAAAACGGCCCGTAGCCTGATTCACATGTCCCTTGAGATTAGGAATATGCCATTTTGACGCCATAGGTGTCTAAAATTAGTAAACACGATCCAAACCTCGCAGAATCGTGCATTAACATCATCTGTCACACCACAGTCAGAACTAATGCAACTTCCAAGGCACGCATCGCAGCGTCGAGGGTCTCTCCCTGGCTTGCAAGTGGCGTGGCATATCCAGGAGCAGGACCCTACACGTTGTGGGTGCAAAGTTCATATCAAAGGATGGGATTACGTTTTTTAGTTAAGTTGGCTATACCAAAGAGAATGAAATCTCAGTGAAATGTTACAGAATGTCGACTTGTTCGTTAGGACCTGACCGTCCTAACAATCCTAATACAAAGAGGTGTCCTTGTCTTTGTGTATTATAGCTTTTCTAGGGCTTTCCGTATACTCTCACACGTCCGGAAGTCTGAGATTACAAAGAATGTATTATGTTTACAAACTTTCGCGGCATTCTTTCATGAGTAAGCGTGTCAAGGAGAGCACACCGGTCAAGCAAGTCAAATGCACCTTGGAACTCCAGGAATACTAAAATTGTAGGTCGTTTGTACGTATGGTGTTGTTTGGAGATTTGATCAGCTCAACCTCTGCATGGCCAGAATCTTGCTTGCCGCTCTCGAGTCACTGTTTCACGAGCCACCACAAGGCGAGAAAGCACAGATGACGCCAACAGTCTCGTTGCGACCGGGGTCAAGCCGATCCGCCTGTGGTTGTCGCACTCCCTATGAACCCCTTTTTGAAAATCGGCACTATCACCGACTTTCTTCAGTTGTATGAGACAGTCTCCTTTTCCCAAACACAGGCAGACAGGTCAGACAAGCGGTGGCTAAAATTTGACCCAAGTCTTCGAACAATACGGGTAGTAAGTCATCCGGACCAGAAGCTCGGTGGGGCTTGAGAGAACGTAAGCAGTCATAAATCGCCGCTACCTTAGAGGGTTTCACGTTCATCATCCAGCATTCTACGTCAATGGTGGTCCCCAGGTAGGTAACAGCTGGTGGCCGCGATATCCGTGGTTCAAAGAATTCGGCCCAACAGTCGAAGCGATTTTGTTTATTTAGGATGGTTCTGATCCCGGATGGTTTCGCTTACTGTTACGGTTCGATCACGCAGCGAGAAAACAATATGATATGCGGATTGTGGCAATATTCTATCCCCAGCTATGTTGCTTGATCCAGATTCCTAGCATTTAATGATCCAACAACACGCGATCAACTGGCGATAATGGGAAAAAATGACAATGCATATATATATATATATATATATATAT